AACCAACAAGCTGCATCTCAAGCAACGGTTGTTCAGCTTGAGGATGCAAGAAGGTACGCCTTTGAGGGAACATCTCGAACAGCTTAACTCTATTTTGCTGGATCTGCGTAATATAGATGTTCAAGTTGATGACGAGGATGCTGCCCTAATCCTGCTGGTTTCTTTGCCGAGTTCATATGAGAATTTCGTTGATTCTTTTATTGCCGGTAAAGAAAGCGTGTCGTTGGAGGATGTCATGTCTGCTCTTCATACGAGAGAGATCAGACATAAGGCGTCCGGATCTGGTACAGGTGGTGAGGCATCGGGTTTGGCTGTTACAGGTGGAAAGGAAAAGAAGAAATCTGGTAAAGGGAATTCGAGCAAGAATTCCAAGGGTCCCGGTCCACAGCCAGGTGATGCTTGTCACAACTGTAAGGAAGTGGGGCATTGGAAGTACAATTGTCCCAAGAGAAGAGGGCAACAGAAGAAACAAGGTTCAGTTGCTGTGGCAGAAGTGGACAACAGTTCTGAAGACGATCTCGTCTTGGCTGTAGACGAGAAGGCACATCGTGGGGATGTGTGGTTTCTGGATACTGCAGCCTCATACCATATGTCTCCGAACAGGGATTGCTTCACAACCTATGAGCAGATAGATGGTGGTAACGTGGTCATGGCAAATGGAGCTGTCTGCAAGGTTGTTGGAATCGGGTCCATAAAGGTTCGGACACATGATGGTTCATTCTGTACCGTGAATGATGTCAGGCATGTTCCACGAATGACAAAGAACCTGATCTCCTTGATTCTACTCGACAGCAAGGGTTTCAGCTTCAAAGGAAAAGGTGGAGTTGTGTATGTCTGCAAAGATTCAAGGAAGGTGCTGAAGGGCGTGAAGCGTGGGACCTTGTATGCATTACAAGGGTCTGTGTTGTCTGGTTCTGCTGCAGTTGCATCATCTCAGGTTCAACAGGAAGATATGACCACTATCTGGCACATGAGACTGGGGCATATGAGTGAACGAGGGATGCAAGTTCTATCGAAGAGGGATCTTCTTTGCGGGCACAAGGTGCAGAATTTGGAATTCTGTGAGCATCGTGTGTTTGGGAAGCTACATCGCAGCAAGTTTCCCAAGAAGGGTATCCACCGGACGAAGGGGATACTGGATTACCTCCACTCCGACTGTTGGGGTCCTTTACGAGTTGAATCCATTGGAGTCAGCAGGTATTTTCTGTCTATTATTGATGATTATTCGAGATTTACTTGGATTTTCATGATGAAGCAGAAAAGTGAGGCTTTCACAAAGTTCAAGCAGTGGAAGACACTGGTGGAGAATCAGACCGGTAAGAAGATCAAGAAGCTGCGAACGGACAATGGTCTGGAGTTCTGTAATTCTGAGTTCAACGGATTCTGCAAGGATGAAGGGATTGCCCGTCATCGGACTGTTAGAGATACACCCCAGCAGAATGGCGTTGCAGAAAGGATGAACCAGACATTGTTGGAGAGAGCACGGTGCATGCTCTCTAATGCTGGACTAGAGAGAAGATTCTGGGCAGAAGCAGTAAACATGGCGTGCTTCCTGATCAACCGTGGACCACACACAGGTATCGAGTGTAAGACTCCTTATGAAGTGTGGTATGGTAAGCCTGCTGATTACTCTTCACTGAAAGTTTTTGGGTGTCCTGTTTATTATCACGTGGATGAGGGTAAACTGAACCCAAGGGCAAAGAAGGGTGTATTTGTGGGTTACGGAGATGGAGTTAAGGGATTTCGAGTCTGGTCACCTTCTGAGCATCGAGTTATACTTAGTAGAAATGTGATATTTGATGAGAAGTCTATGTTTAACCCCATGTTGAAGGTTACTGTTGCTGAAGGTAGCAGGAATGTTGATAAGCAGGTGGAGCTGCAAACTCTCAATGAGAGTGAGTTTGAGCACCGAGGTGGAGAAGATCAAAATGATGAGGATGTCTCTGCAGAGCCAGAAACTTCAGAGTCCAGTGCACGAGCTAAACAGTCTATTGCTTCCGGTAGACCGAAGAGAGCGACTGCAGGAGTACCTCCACAGAGGTATGGCTTCGAGGACATGGTGGCGTATTCATTTCAGTTTGCTGAGGAAGTGGATGCAGGAGAGCCACAGTCCTATAGAGAAGCAGTTTCGGGTGGTGAAGCTGATCAGTGGCTTGTCTCAATGGGAGATGAGATGGAATCCCATGACAGGAATCAGACTTGGGAGCTAGTCAAACGACCACAGGGAAGGAAGATTGTTACAAACAAGTGGATCTACAAGAAGAAGGAAGGAATCACTTCTAAAGAGGGCATGAAATTTAAAGCTCGGGTGGTTGCACGAGGCTTCTCGCAGAGGGAAGGAGTTGACTATAATGAGATTTTCTCACCAGTGGTCAGACATACTTCGATCAGAGTGCTACTAGCAATAGTGGCACATTATGACTTGGAGCACGAGCAGCTAGACGTGAAGATAGCTTTCCTACATGGAGAGTTGGAAGAAGAAATTTACATGACTCAGCCAGAAGGATTCGAGGTTCCGGGAAAAGAAGACTATGTTTGTAAGCTGAAGAAGTCCTTGTATGGACTTAAGCAATCTCCGAGGCAGTGGTACAAGAGATTTGACAGTTACATGCTTGAGCTGGGCTACAACAGAAGTCCATATGATTGTTGTGTATATCACAGCAAGGCAGAGGATGGTTCGATGATATATCTAGTTCTGTATGTGGATGATATGCTCATAGCTCCGAGGTCAAAGTCTGATATCCAGAAGTTAAAGGGGTTTCTCAGTGTTGAGTTTGAGATGAAGGATTTGGGAGCTGCTCAGAAGATCTTGGGTATGGAGATTTACAGGGACAGGTCGAAGAAGAAGCTTTTCTTGTCACAGAAGAGCTACATCCAGAAGTTACTGTCGAGGTTTAGCATGTCTTCAGCAAAGCCCTTAAATACTCCTAGTGATTCAAATGTTCATTTATCCTCAGCTTATGCACCGCAGTCAGAGGCTGAGAAGGAGTACATGTCGAGAGTCCCATATGCTAGTGCAGTAGGTAGCTTGATGTATGCTATGGTATGCACTAGACCTGATCTTGCACATGCTGTTAGTGTTGTCAGCAGGTTTATGATACAACCTGGGAAGGAGCATTGGCAGGCTGTGAAGAGGATCTTCCGGTACCTTAAGGGTACACCTGATGTGGGGATTAGCTTCGGAAGTGATACAGAGTGCTTGGTGTCTGGGTATTCTGACTCGGACTATGCTGGAGATGTTGACACGAGGAGATCGATGACCGGTTATGCATTCACTCTTGGGAGTTCTGTAGTGAGCTGGAAGGCAACTCTGCAGTCGGCGGTGACATTGTCTACTACTGAGGCAGAGTATATGGCGTTGACAGACGCTGCTAAGGAGGGAATATGGTTGAAGGGACTGGTTGGTGATCTGGGTCTACATCATGATCAGGCAGTGGTGTATTGCGACAGTTTGAGTGCAATATGCTTGGCCAAGGATCATGTCCACCATGAGAGGACTAAGCACTTCGATGTGAGGTATCATTTCTTGAGGACAGAGAAGAGGATTAAGGTGAAGAAGGTTGGCACCGCGGATAATCCTGCTGATATGTTCACGAAGCCGGTTCCACATGGCAAGTTCCCACACTGCTTGGACTTGCTGAATGTCTTGAGTGGGTGACTCCGCCCTACGGGGCATTGATGGCGGGAGAGAGAGAAGGAGCAGAGTACATCAGAGATTTCAGAGGAAGAGGATTCAAGTCAAAGTGGAGATTTGTTGATATGACTTGAATCGGACTATCAGCCGCTACGACTGGTAATCGGGGGTCTCGCTGACCGGTCAGCGAGTGGGGTCCAGGGGCAACGCCCCCGGCCCACGGTTAGGGGTGTACATGGGTCGGGTGGTTCGGGTTTAGTCATTTTAATCACCCAACCCATGCACTACGGTTTGAGAAATATCAAACCCAAACCCACCCAAAAATTTTTAAACCCTACGGTTTGTTTCTAATTGGGTTGGGTCGGGTTGGCGATATTTTTAAGTAAAAACCCAACCCAACATAAAATATATAATTATTCTACATCATAAAAATATTTTATAACTAATTAAAATTTCAAACGAATGAACCAAGGTGAAAGATATGAAAATTTACGAATGTTGTTTAAATTTTAATAAAATGTGATTTACTTCAACATATGTCTTGTTTTTTTCACGATATTTGTTGAAATATGCTAAAAATGTTATAAACAAACGCATCCATCATATGTTATTCTATTAAAATTGTACACAAGAAAAAGGATTACGTGAATCATAACTATATTCAATTTATGTCTAAACTTTAAGTCGAAGAATGCATTAGATTAGGGAGACCATGAGAGAAAAACATGGCGAAATATCTTAATTTTCTCATAAGTATATGACTATATGCTACATAAATATTTTTTAAATCCGAACTCATACTAATAGTTGGAACACGGGTTGGGTCGGGTTCTACGGGTTGTGTAATTCAAAATCCAAACCCAACCCAAAAGAGGCGGGTTGTACAAAAGAAAACCCTCACCCAACCCAAAACCTTCGTTTTAGCGATAAATACGGGTGGGTTGGGTTGGGTTGGACGGGTGGGTCGGTTTGCGGGTGTGTTTGTTCACCCCTACCCACGGTGTATGGGCTCAATGTTATTTGGGTTCGAGTTCTGGGCCTGGTCTGTAACCGTTTCCTTTGCCATATTGGATTAGGTTTAGACCCACATGGAGAAGTACTATAAATACTTCTCATACTCCTCTGTAATCTGTAATCTCCTCGATATAGTGAAACTGGTTCTCTCTCGCCCGTGGACGTAGCTAACACACATCGTGTTAGTGAACCACGTAAATCGTGTGTCTATGTTTTTCGATTCTCGCTTTCGTATTCTTGCTTTGTCGATTCCGGCGATTTCCCGATCCGTAGCAGCGCGTTTATAACACGAACAACCGATGGCCGATTTTAAATCCTTACCCTTTAACATGATCAAAGTTGGAGGAAAAAATGGGAAAACAGATTGTACTTGACACAAAAGTCCCTCGATTGCCGCCCAAAAGAGACAACACATACAAAGTTTGTCTCACCACTCACCCCGCCGCATTTATAAACACCCCTCCCATCCTCCCAACAAACATTCCCTCATAAGCCAACATCATCCTCTCCATCGACTGGTCGAGGAGAGCTTTCACTTAGCCAAATAAAAAAAAAAGAACAAAAATGGCGTCCCTATTCCTCCTCCTCCTCACACTCCTCTCCCTCCCACTCTTCCTCATCCTCATCCGCCGCAGCCGGCCCAAGCTCCGCCTCCCGCCGGGCCCAAAGCCCTTACCCATCATCGGCAACCTGCACATGCTCGACACCTCCCAGCCTCAGCGCCAGTTCTACGAACTGGCGCAGCGTTACGGGCCCCTGATGTCCCTACAACTAGGGTTCGTGCAGGGGCTCGTGGTCTCCTCGGCCAAGATGGCCAAGGAGGTCATGAAGTATCATGACCTCGAGTTCTGCAGCCGCCCCAATCTCTTGGGGCAGCGCAAACTCTCGTACGATGGGTTCGACGTCGTTTTCGCTCCCTACAATGACTACTGGCGCGAGATGCGCAAGATTTGCACCCTCCACCTCTTCAACTTCCGCCGCGTCCAGAGCTTCCGGCCCATTAGAGAGGAAGAAGTGTCACGGCTCATGAAAAAGGTTCGTGCATGGTTTTGTAATTTACCCGGTGATAGGGAATTTTGATGTTTCGGAAGCTTGTATGTGTAATTTATGCCATTCGTTCATTTGGACCACATCTAGACGCTTCTGCATGTGCTATATTTAGGACCATTTTTTATGTGGTGGCCACTTGAGTGGTTATATACCACTTCTTTCGACTAACTCGAATTATAAGAACCAATTGGTTTATAATATGATGTCAGAGTTTATTTGTATTTGAAGTCATGTGTGTTCAAGTCCTCACAACCCATAATGTTAAATATTGTCTTTAAAACCACATATAATGGTAGGCCTGTACAAACTCTAAACTCATAGATTGGTTTTCATTTGAGAAAAAAGTAATTAAATATCATACATGAACCTCTCACAACCACTCAAATTATTGAGGCCGGTTGATTTATGATAGTTACTCCGTCTTGCAGTGCTCCACAATTCACATGCATGATTTCATATTTCCCTTTACAAGACTGTGACGCATTGATGAAAAATCTTAAATTAGCGATTTCTAGAAAGTAAAGTGTGAGTTCAACCTTCGTAAGAGTTGCATTTTCTAGGATGCAAGTTTGGGATCGACTCCAAAATCTTACTTGTCTCATGTCAAGAACGGAGTCACAGTCAGCTTAGGCATTCTGTTGTGCTCTATCTCATGTCAGGTTTTCAACTTTCAAAAGTTTGTCTGGATTTGAGTAATTTTCATGACCTCCTATTCGATTTTTTTTTTTTTTTTTTTATAGGTGACGAGCAACGTGGAGAGCGGGAAGCCGTTGGATATAAACGAGATGATGATGTCGCTGACGATCTCCATCATCTGCCGGATATCCCTGGGGAAGAAGTACGACGACGACGCCAAGGAGCGGCAGCATTTCATCGGCATGCTGACGGAGTCGCAGGCCATGTTCGGCAACTTCTTTTACGGCGACTACTTCCCCGGGATGCGGTGGCTGGACAAGCTCAACGGCATGGTGGACCGGCTGGACCGGAACTTCAGGGACCTCGATAACTTCTACCAGGAGGTCATTGACCAGCACCGCGACCCGAACCGGCCCAAACCCGAAAGAGAAGACATCATTGATGTCCTTTTGAGGATCAAGGAAGAGAGGGGGTCTTCCATTGACCTCAATTGGGATCACATCAAGGGCGTTCTTATGGTAAATTTCTGGTCATTAAATACTTCGTTTAGTAAATAGTAATCGTATACTATATATATAGTGGCATCTTTGATGTACCCAATGCACTCGTCTCATAATCGTTATTTCTAGCAAGCGATTCATGTGAAAACGATGTCAATCAACATATGTGGTATGATGAACAAGAAACACATGAATTTAAAGTTTCATTTACCAATAGACCAAGTCATAGTATGCTCTATTCCTGTATTGTTTTCAAATCCTTTCATTTTTTCCAATTCATTTCATATCTAAACACATATAAAACCTATATAATACCGTAATTGATGTATTAAATTGAAGATTTTAACAATATTTATACATTCATTTGTTTTAAAATAATTAAAATGTACCATTAGTTTGAAGAGAAATTTTACAATGCTATAGGTTTTTACCTTTATGGTACAACTTGAAACTGTACCTTTAATGTTATGGTATAACTTCATATTGTACCTATACTTTTTGTACAAATTCTTTTGTTGTACAACTTAAACTTGTACCTTATGTGATGGTACAACTTCAAATTGTAAAGTTGTACTGTAACATAATGATACAAATTCATTTATGGTACAACCTAAACTTATACATTTAATGTTATGATACAACTTCAAGTTGTACATTAAAGCACCAATACTATATAGCATAGTAGAAGTGCTCTAATTTGAAGATAAAATAAAATACTCGGTACATATTTTATTTACTAGCTATTAAAATCATCATTATAGTTTGGCAAAATACACTTGTATAGCCATAAGTTTCACGTTTTTGACAAATATAGCCAGAACTATTCGAAAACCCAAAATAGCCAGGAAATTGGAGGGTAGTGTGACAAATCTAGCCATTTCCGTTATAAACTTTAACGGTGTTAGTGACGCCGTCAATTTTGTTAGTGATTTGCTGATTAGGACGCCAAATCAGCGTACACGTCATCGACAAATCAGCATAAAGTGACATGTAGATTATATATGATAATATATAATAAAAATAAAAAAAATAATATGAATAAAAAATACATTTAATATTTAATCATAAAAGAAACCAAAAAACCCTTACCCTTCCCCTTCCCCTTCCCCTTCACCGCCACCATCCCCTTCTCCTTCCTCCCACCTCTGTTCCTTCCTCCCATCCATGGCCGCCGCCGCGATCACCGTCACTACGAATCTCCCGCGTCACCACCATAAACACTACCCAAAAATTTCCTTCCCCTTCCTCACAAATTCCAATCTCACCTTCGCCCTCTCTGGAACCGCTTCCCTTGTGGCCATGCCCATCTCAACAATACCTCCCCACCTTCCAGATCCTTCTCCCTTCGAATCGCACCTCATCCCCATCAAGAGGACCGAGAGGGCGTCTTCTTTTCCAATCGCACTTCATCGAGATCCTCTCGCCACCGGAGCGGCGACAATCCCTGCAATTTCGGCTCAGTTCCAGATCGGGTTCTTCGTCCTGGTTTGATGAAATCCGTTTCGTTTCTCACCACCGACCAGCCCTCTGTAGATGAACTGATTGGGCGAATCTCGAGGAAACAATATTAGCTGCAAGAAGGAGCAGTGGGGATGGAGGATTTGGAGTGGTAGGTCGAGGGAAAAGAAACAAGCAGGTTGCTGCTCTTTGCCTCTGGATATCGAAGTGCTGCCCGCCGCCGATTGGAGGCTTCTTGTCGTCGTTTGGAAGTGCCCGGTCGCCGATTGAAGGCGTTTCTTCGCCGATTGAAATTTTCTCGCTGGTGGCGTTCCTCACCACGTCGCCGATTGAAAGGTTCTCGCTGGTGGCGGTGGAGAATCTCTCGACTCCTTGTTGTAGTTGTTGGTTGGTGTTTTTGAATACATAGGGAGGGTAGGGGTTCTTGGGTCTGGGCGCGGAGGCGGCGTCGAGTTTGGGTTTCAATCGCCGGGGAAGAGTTTGATGAATCTGTTCCCGGGAACTCGGACTTGGGTCTGGGCGCGGAGGCGGCGTCGAGTTTGGGTTTCAATAGCCGCCTTCTTTGTCTGTCGGCGGTGTGGATTGAGTTTGTGGGGGGAAGCGATGATCTGGAATTGAGAAGAGAGGGGAGGTGTTGTTCGTAGCGGAAGAGGAAAGAAGAGAGAGGGAGAGAGGAAGGTGAGAACAGGGGAGGATCTTGGTTGAATTGGGGAAGATGTACAGTTGGAGGAAGATGGGAGAAAGATGGGCGGTGGGTATAAGGTTGGAATTTTTTTTTTTTTTGTTTTTAAATTAAATTATTAGATAAATAATGATTTTTTATATTTTAATTTTTTTTAATCCACATCGGCTTGGTGGGGATCATAAATCGCCAACTCAGCATATTCCGTCAGTACAGTCAGATTGTTAAGTAACACCGTTAAAGAGATGGACGGAATTGGCTATTTTTGGTTTTCGAATAATTTTGGCTATATTTGTCACAAACGTGAAAGTTATGGCTATACAAGTGTATTTTGCCTTATAGTTTCTACTTTCCATAAGTGAACTTCTCTCTCTAATGGGCCAAGTCTCGGGTCGATTTATTGGCAGAACGTATTCGTCGCCGGGACGGATACAAGTGCAGCGACAGTGATATGGGCCATGACCTTCCTAATCACCAACCCACCAGCCCTGAAAAAGGCCCAACAAGAAATCCGGGCCCATGTCGGCACCAAAGGATTCGTCGACGAGGACGACGTCCAGGAGCTCCCTTACCTCAAGGCAATCGTCAAAGAAACATTCCGGCTGCAGCCGGCGGTGCCGCTGCTGGTCCCGAGGGAGACGGTGCAGGACTCCCAAATCGGCGGCTACGACATCCCGGCGAAGACCGTGGTCTTCGTCAACGCGTGGGCCATCGGGCGGGACCCGGAAGCCTGGGCCCGGCCCGACGACTTCTACCCGGAGAGGTTTTTAGGCAGTGAGGTTGACTTCAAGGGGGTTGACTTCGAGCTCGTCCCTTTCGGGGCGGGTCGGAGGGGCTGCCCCGGGATCCACATGGGCATTGCCACGGTGGACCTCGCGCTGGCGAATTTGTTGTACAGGTTCGACTGGGAGCTGCCACCTGGCACTGAGAGGGAGGACGTGGACTTCGACGTGCTCCCGGGGATTACTATGCATAAGAAGAATCATCTCTGGCTCGTGCCCAAGATTCCAGCTGCTTGATTCAGATTTCAGATTAATCTTCGGATTAAGGGGTTAATTACGTGCGTGCAGCCGTACGTGGCAATATACAGTCAAACGTTTGTCGTTTGATATATATGATGGTAAAAGTTAAGGTTAATTGTTGTCCTTTCTCTTTCTCTCCTCTTGAAAACAAAGTAACTATTGATACATATTACAGAGTATAGTGTTAATTGCCTGTCCTACAAACCGTTATATATAGTTTCCAATTGGTTTTTGTTTGTTTTTTGTTTCGAATAAGAGATAGGGCAATGTTGTTGTGATTGAAAATCCTCTTATAGTGAAAGTTTTTTATCGTGTTTGTTGAATTTTCTATTCCTGTTCATGTAGTTAATTTTCTTTGATTAATCTGTTACGATAGCTAATATAGTAGATTTGCAGTAGTGTTTTTGGTTAATATTTAAGTGGTACTAATTAGGCTTAAATGGTGTCTACATGCAATGATGTGCATAAATTTATGTTCGCACAATCATGTTAGTGGTGTTTGTGGCTCTAGATTTTGACACGGAAAATAACCATTGCTTGTACACAATGTTTTGAAAGTCAAACCACTAGCCGATTCGATCAGTAAAATTGAGATCTGGTGATCAAGCTGGTTTGAATAGCTTGTATAATCGTGTAATTTGAGTCGAGCGTTTGAAAATCAGTTTGAAATTTGAATTGTTAACCGTTCAGGCCGGATGAATCGGCCGGCCGGTTGCCGCTTTAATGCTTTCATCCTCCATGATATTAAAATGCTTGTATGAATGGAATTCGAATTCGTGTCCTTTCACCAAGGGTGCAAGTTGTTCACTACATGTGCTACAAATATTTGGTATCCTTAGGCAAATAAATCAAAGTTTTATTGAGATGATGCAAATGTACTTAACTCAAATCACTTTTTGTTTAAAAAAATTGGGCTAATTCCACTAGGGAGCTCAAATTATTCTAAAAGTGTCATTTGTGTTCTAAACTATTCAATATGACAAATCTGACACAAACTATATGCGTTTCGTGACATTTGTGTCCCGAACTTATTCAATATGACAAATCTAGCACAAACCACATAGATATTGACTAGATTTTCTGATAAATACTGATGGTGTAGGCCGGCCCGGCCAACATTAACCAAAAAAATAGTTCTTATTAGATTTTTCATATTGTATAATTTATGAGACATATTACACTTTTTGAATAGTTTGGACTTTATAGTAGAATTAGCCAAAAAATTACTTAAAGACATAGTTACATCCTAACATTTCGTAGGAATATAATAATAACTAACCCTTGTTGTTATTTTAAAACATACTAATGTTTGAATTTTAATTTTAGAACTTTGAATCGTATTCCGAGTAATATATCATATTTTAAATTTATGGTTTAGTGTATTATTATTATTTATCAGTATTATACTTATACAATTCTTATTTGTGAGGCGTTAGTTCGTTGCGATTTTTGTGATTTAGTACCAGTTATACCAATAAAATTATTATTTGTGAGGCATTAGTTCGTTGCGATTTTTGTGATTTAGTACCAGTTATACCAATAAAGTATGAACCATTCACTACACTAGTTCATACTCTAGTTTGGTTCTGAACATATATTGCTTATACACAATTCATATACTCAAATTTAGTACCTCATGTTTACTGGTTGTACCTGTACATATCAACAAACGGTAGAGAATTTTGTAATACACGTTAATCTTAAATATTATACAAATAACTCGGTTGGACAACAAACTCAAGTTTTACACATTAATCTATCACCAATTGAACAATAAAATGAAATTCGTAGGGGAAACTTCACTTCATTTCTAGAATTTTCTCATTCTAGAAAATAGAGGAAATAGAATGGTTACAGTTTAATTTACTTGTTTTCAAGGTTGTCAACCCGCGGGTCAATCCGCGGGTCAACCCAATTTGACCCTGACCCGGTGAGAAAAACGGGCCGCACGCACCCGCCGGGCTGACCGCTATAAGGTACCGGGTTGGAGGTCAAATTGTGTCATTTTTTTCTTTAGTTTGCGAAATGCGCCTATTTTCCAATTCTTCTTTTCGCCTAACTCAATCTTTTGAATACGAAGTTGAACATTTGAATATTTATGTTATAGAAGTGTGTGTGAATTTTCACTATATGTTGGATCTAAGTACGATATGTTATTTTGGTGTAATATTATATGTTATAACTCATATGTTAGATAAGATTTTATATAATTTATGATGATAAGTACAATATAATGACTCTTTCTATATTTCCGGGCCAAACCGGGCTAAAACGGTTGACCCATTAACCCTTGACCCACTAGCTCGACCGGGTCCGGGTCAACCCGCGGGTTGACAACCTTGCTTGTTTCACAATTATACGAGCAAAATGAGAAAATTCCCACTCCAATAATAAGGGTCAAAATGTCTCGTTCTTTCATCACAAATCAGTACTCTACTACACTCTTTTCCCTAGTGTCCACTTGCTAATCCAAGGAAAATTCCCTTTTTTCCATGAACAAAATGCAAGAGACTAATGGAATATTCAACCGAGGGGAATCAAATGTTAAAAAAATGCAAAATTCCGAAGTTACAACAGAACATTGTGAGTCAATAGTACAGAATCGAAGAAGAATGGAATATTCAACCCAATCTCCCAAGATCATGGCATTACTACTAAGACTTGCGGGGTCTTCCTCTCTTACCAGCAGGCTTTACCTGGGAAGCAGCATTGTTGTTGTTAACCTTGTTCGCCGACGGTGGGCGGCCGCGTCCACGCCCGGATGGCGCTTTCCCGCCTCGCGCACTCTTCTTCGGAGCTTTCTTCTTGCCGTTGGAGAGTCCTTCGCTGTCGTCGCTCTCATTGTCGCGGTCGTCACCACTGCTGGCTTCTTCATCGTCGTCCCCTGATTCGGATGAATCATCTTTGGACGACTTCTTCCGCTTCTTTGCACTGTCGGGAGATTTGGCCGGCCTACCCTTTTTCGCGTTTTGTTTCGCTGGAGGTTTGTTTGTCTGGGATGGCGCCTCGGGTTCTGCAAAGGTTAAATCAGTTGAGAGGGCTGAAGAATGATTTCCCCCACCAGCTATATGAGAACAGGAGAAACGAATTCGGAGTCATTGTACCTTCAGCAGCATCTTTGCCATCGTATACATCAAGCTGGAAATGATAAGATCAAGGAGAATGAAGTTAATAGAGGCAAGCGATTAAGCAGCAAGGACTCATTGTATTGTATGGCTACTGAGATTTACCTGATCAAGTCGATCGCCAATATTTGTTCTGTCTACAATAACCATAGAATGGCCCAACCCACAGGCAACACTGCAAGGGAATAGTAAAGATTTTTATTAACCACTTAACTTCAACCTATTACATTACATGCAAAATAATTGATTGCTTACCCTAACACATGCATGCCCTCAAGAATGTCTACCTTCTTGGGTATTGCTGACGACCTGTACAGCACATGAACAATTGCGTAAAGGACAAGTAAATTAACAACCACAAAAAAAAAAAAAAAAAAAAAAAGTATATCAATGAAAGGATCAGTTGTAGAAGCATATGGTTGCCATAGAGATATTTACTTCTGTCCAGCAGGACCATATCCCAGTTCACCATACTGAGCAAAGCCCCAGCTTATGCAGGAATTATCAGCACCAACAAAGAAGTGCATGTTGCCTGAGTCCATGCACCGTAAATTCCAACCACTGTATGGAAATGTGATACACGTTAATAAAAAACATCTTACTAACCAAATCATTTGTTACAAGGGAAGATGCAGCCCAATCAGCACTATAATTTTAGAATAAGCACATTCGGAACATTTCATCCAATAGAAATACACTATGTGCATAAACTAGGACTTCAAGTTTAGCCATAACAATAATTATGACTTATGAGTGGTAAAAGGGCATGATTTCAGAACAAAAACAAGGGAAGCACCTTAGATCCATTAGTGGCTTTGGGTACATCCAGTCATCCCCAGTACTCTTTATTTTCCCCCACACATACAACTGCCCACCACCTGGAAAGCAAGCAAAACAACATAGCTCAGATCAGTCTCTTGTGCAGTCAACGGAGTGCCAGATAAGTTGATGAACTCCAAGATCCAAAACAGTGGTTAACTGAATCGTTCCGTGACCCATGAAACAGTTAACCCAAACCCAAAAGGAGCAGCATGAGATTGCATTGGCTGAATTATATACACTAAGGTTCAAAGCAGTATGAAACAGTTAACCCACACCCAAAAGGAGAAGCATGAGATTACATTGTCTGAATTGTATACACTTAGGTTCAAAGCACTTATTCAACGCGGATTTTTGAAAGTATACAGTGAGAGAAGAAAGTGCATTCTAACAAAACACCATACTACACATTGGGATGAACTATGGAAATTCTGTACCCAAGGAAAATAGAATGCTGCAAACACCCATACCTGCAGTACATGCACAATTAACAGAACCAGCTGAAACTACAGCATTTGGAGGTAAAAGATTCTGTCTTTGGAAAACATCAACACGGCGAGGTGACCACTCATCTTTCTGCTCTCTGTGTCCCAGCCTATGAATAAAACGCAATATAGTTAAGAACTTTATGAGACAGGAAAACTACACAGAAGAATTAACTTTTCCCATCTCCGTATGTTTAAATCCAGTAAATAGGCTGTTCGGATCACAGGATGCACAAACCTTCCATAACCACCATATCCCCACCTGAAAATTTTGTCAACACAAGCAGTTGTCAGAATTGACTAACAGGAAACAAAAACATAGACAATACAAATAAAGGGAAACTCTTACGTGTAAACATAGCCATTTGAATCCACGGCCACTGGATATCCACAAAAGTTAATTGTCAAGCAAAGACAAATAGAAATCATAATAAGCAGCAAAAGGCTAGAAAGAGATGCAACACCAGCACAAATTCATAAAAAGATAATTGCAGATGATGACCTGTATGGTTTGTCCCACATGCAACTTTTACAATAGTTTCCCCCGCAAGAGCTGCAATTGCTTTTGGCTGAGGTTGGGCTTCATATGCTAGCCTGACTGAGCTGTCCTTTGTGTTATACTGCAAAACGCATCATTCCAATCATTCTAAACAATGCAAGTAGGAAAATTAGAATGAAATCACACATGTAGCAATAGAACATCTCATAGGAAGACGTCAATGAAACTCTTCCTGATACATTAGCTATCAACTGCCAACACGTTTCAAAAAGTAAATTATTAAAAAAACTCAAGTTGCTTACTAGATCTATCATATAGCAACCATGAACAACAGGGATTGAACTCAACATTGGCAAAGACCTCAAACTTCCCTCCTTGTGTTAAGTTATAAATCGAGTGCTAACTTCTAAGTGATGGAGCAAGTTTAAAAACCATCAATAACTAATCCGGTAGAGATGACAGAGCAGTAGAGAGCAAGGACATACCTCGTTGTCTGTCCCATGTCCAAGTTGACCATACTGTGGAAGCCCAGCCGTTCTATAAACCAACAAATGCCTCGACGATCAACAGATAATCATAACAACTTATGAACTGCTCACGAATACAAAATATGAACAATGAATACAAGCAAATTGACAAACCATACAATATGGTAGCCCCTTGAGCAGATGATAACCATACAGTGAAGTCAGCTCCACAAGCAGTAGTTTTAACATCAGACACAAGACAACGGACAGGAGATGACTCAATTTCTGCAAGAAGAAGCTATCTGGTCAGATCACATAAGAAACATTCGGCTGCTATCTCCAAAAAGGAAAATATAATGCATCTGCTAGTGTGGACTTCTTGATAAAGCATCATCAAGCATAGAAACACAGAAAGTGACAAGCACATTGTGATTATACTGTTATCAACAATGAAAGGCAGCGAAAAGTCATACCATTTCTCACAGAACCAGAGCCTAGCTGTCCATGCTTGTTCCAGCCAAATGCTAGTGATTGGCCATCTTCAGTAACAACTACTGTATGATTCCTACCAGCTCCAGCTCTGACGATCTTATACCTTAAGACAAAAACCCAAAATATGATTGCTTGTTCCACTTTGACCATTACATTTTCATACTTAGAGAAGAACACACGAGCAGTGTCATGGAAAAACAAATCAAGATATCTATCGATGAACATACATTTTATAGCAAACACCCATCTGACCAAGAAAGTCATGACTTCATGTCTACAAAATACTATAACGCAATGTCATGAAAATACATTTGGCACATAAGCTCCTCCTTCACGAGCCACACACTTAAGAGGAATAGATATGGAAATTAGTCAATCATCTTCTCTCGGTTTGTCCCAGCCAGAAATCCCAATAAATCATATACCGCCCTTCTACATCAATTCTCCAATCTATTTCACCGATCGCCGCCACTTATTTTGTGTATATTTTTAGACGATCACCTTGAGCATGTTGTTAGACTGAAACTGAAATTGTATGTTTGTTATGGGAATCACTTATATTCATTCTTGATCCTCATCTAAACATAATTAATTATTCATTCATTTAATTTGGGTGAGGAATTTGCAGCAGCAACAATGGTGTTGCACACAGAGTTGGTTACCTTTATCGAACTTTCTTAGACCAAGCACTATATGCTTGATTGAAGCTTTGGATGTGGCTGGTCCCATTAAGGTATTACCAAACCATACTTTCTCTTTCTTTCTTTCTCAGCATTTCAAACTTGTTCAAGCAATTTAAGGCAATGTTAAAGTCAGTGACAATTTGTCATCTATACTTATAGGATATGACCTACAAAAATACAGCTGAGGTCTTTGAAGTCAATGCTTATTGGTCCAATCGATATTTAGCATTCAAGGTTGAACTTATACTGAAAGATGACCATCATTCTGCTGTTTTTAATTTTTGAAGCTATACTTTCAGATCGCTGCTGACACTATCTTGAACGAAGCAAGGTTGGAGAGTTCGAACTTCGACTTAGACTCCAAATCATTAAGGGGTAAGAAATTATGGTTCTTGATGAAAGTTGTGCCTCATATCTATAACCTACTATAGTGCGCTTTGTGGTTCTCAAAATCACGAATTTCTTATGACAATCATATTGCAAATAGATTTTATTTCTTATTCACAAAGCATTGTGTGATTTTGTCAAAGTTAGAACGGTCTTAACTACTTCATTAGTTGTCTGATTGCCACAAACTTTGTTGCCTCTTGAAGAGCATTTGATTCCCTAATGTTCTACGTAGAAGAGATTCTGATAAAATGTCATATTTCACCTTTACTAAGCAATTTGTAAATCTGGAAGGTGGTTTGTTGAGGTTTGGATGGATAGGAGGCTAGACTATGATTTATAACCTTTGTGCTTCTTGTTTATAATTATTTACATGTGTTGGACTTCGCCAATTTAAGGTTTTTGGAATGTGGGTTGCAACTAACTTCAATACTGGAAAACTTTTGACATTTGGATTTGGTGTTGATTGATTCAAAGTTAGGCTATGTTCAAAATCCATTCAGAAAGATTGTTTTTATGGGCAATCAAAAAATCTTATTAAGCTCAGGGTAACTATCTCTATTACAAAAATACTTGATTACATACTTCATTCCATCTAGCATTACCCATGTGATCAACATCCATAACCCTACTAACCGATCTAACTATCTCAGCATGCTGCACTTTCTCAGAAATAATATTCCATATTATTTGAGCTCTAACTTCTGTTGGTTCTATTGGTTTCTCTGTGTTATTAATAGGGTCAGATATTTTTACTATAATTCCTCCTTTTTTGGTTCACAATCGAGCTTGAGCAAGAATTATATGAGATTAGGTTGTTGCAAGAGAGGAAACAAACTTGATTGCTGCAAACTTGGAGGAAACCTGCAATACTAATCGAAGTCTTAAAAGAGTACTTTAAAGAGGCAGAAAATGAGACATTGGATTGATTCTGACACTTAGAAAGAGTAGCATTACTAGAATAATTGCAACTATGTCCGCGTTATGAACTGTAACTTCAGTAGTTTGTGAATAGTTAGGTTCAGAAAATTCAGACTTTTACATTGTTGTAAATAGATTCAGCTTATGTGTTATGATTATCATTCTCCAATGACAATTGGAGTTTCAGGTTGAAAATAGTATCCTTTTGGGAGGATGGATAACAACAACAGCTTAGTTTAGCATGTTTATCACAACAACTTACATTTGTGAGCTTATGATAGCATCAGCTTGCATTTTAGTGTCTTTTTTTATAATAAAAACTTACACTTTGGTGTTTAATTTTGCATCTATACTTTTATGGCAGCAGCAAAAAGTTAAGTATCAGTTTAGTTTATAAACTTTATACAGGAATAACAACAGTAGCTAATTCGGCCGGCAAACTGGCCAGGGCCAATTGCTGGTAAGCATGTGTAAGCCATTCTAACTGTTAGGTTAGATTCCATTGGATGGAATACACAAGTTCCTTAATTGCAACGTGAGACAGTGAACACAACCCACTCAGGCAGGTAAACATAGAAGCAGAGCAGCAGATATCACTTCAGACATTCTTCATTCTCAACACATAAGCCAGTCCATAATACTGAGTTAGAAAATCTTACTTGGAGAGTTCGGAGACAACGGTCGGCCTATCCCGCTGAACTGTGTCTCCATGACCCAGTTGCCCCTTCTGCTTGCACACCAGAAGACACACAAAGGCACAAATAAGAAGCCATGTTACCACAAATTGACTAAGCAAACAAAGAAAGCCAAACCCAGACAGCTACTACAAGTTAAACTTAAACGCCATGCCTCATTACGTCCCCAAGTATAGCAACGCCCATCAACATCCAAGGCCACGCAATGGCACGATGCTGCAACACAATCCAATCAAAATCCGGTTACTCATTTCTTCAAAAATAAGCAATGAAATCAAACGCAATTTACTCTCCGGAGAGAAAAAGAGAAAACGTACTGCTTCCAGAAGCAACGAAGCGGATATCGACGCCGACCAGTGGGCGGAGCCGAGTGGGAGAGACCAAGTTGCCCGGCTGTACCCCTTTCTTGCGGCCAATCACATCCCAAGCGGTGGCCCCACAGAACAAGAGCTCCCCTCCTTTCCCTTCAACCTTCTCCTCGTCGGCCTTCTTCTCGGGTCCCGCCGCCGACATTTCACAGTCAAAATTGAAAAATCCACGCGGATTCAACGGCTAGTATTTGAAAAATGCAGCGACCTGGAATTGGCGGGAGGAAAGACTGAACCAGACCCCAGGGAGGAACGATGTTGTTGAACGGAGAAAAGGAATTAGGGTTGAAGAGAGGGAGCGGAAAACCCTAATCTGGAAACAACAAGAGTGGGGAATGCGTGAGGAGGTGGGTAGTGAGAAGATGAAAATCATTTTATTGGAGCTTTCCCGAGAAATTGCGCTTTTATTAGTTTTTATTAATAAAAGAGGCGTAAATCTGTAAGTGGAACATATTGTAATTGGAAAATACTAAAACACTAGTTTGTTTGATGGATTTGGATGAGATGATTTGGTTAAATTGTTTTAAAATGAAGTAATTAGGTTAAATTGTATTTTTTGTAACACAAAATGGTGATGTAACAATTGGGATCAGATAATTTGAATTGTCTTGTTTTGCACTATTTTGAATTGACAATAGAGGGATAAATATTGTGAAATGATGTGCTTTTATAAAGCAAATGTGAGATGAATCAATTGTGAAGTAGTTGGGTTAAATTGTGGATTGAAGATGAATGTGGCAAAGGTAGAGGCAATACGAGAATGTGAGCTCCCAAAAAGGGTCATCTAGCTACGATTGTTCCTTTGCCTAGCCAAATACTATTGAAGATTCATCAAGGGTACTCCACTCTTGCAGTTGCAGCACCCATGACGGATTTTGAAGAAGAATAAGACTTTGAAATGGTTAGGGTCGGTGCCATGAAGCTTTTGAAGCCTTGAAGGAAGCGGTGACAAAAGAGCCAGTGTTAGTGCTTCATGACCCAATGAAGGCCTATGAGGTACAAACTGACGCATCTAACTTTGCTACTGGTGGTGGCTTAATGCAAGAAAGGCATCCCATCATTACTTATGAGAGCCATAATTTGAATGATGCCAAGAGGAGTTACACGTCCTAAAGAAGGAGATAATGACGATGGTGTATTGCTTGCAGACATGGAGGCACTACTCGTTGGGGTCAGAAGGACAATATGGTGACGAGCTACTTCCTCGCTCATAAGAAGTTCACCCTAAAAAAGATAGGTGGCAAGAATTTTTGGAAGAGTTCAAGATTGTGATGGAGTACAAGCTGGGGAGGCGATTTTCGTAGCAGATGCTCTTAGCTAAAAGAGCATGATTGCAGCCATCAGCCAGCCACAATTCCCCATGAATGACCAAGTTTAAAAAGGTGTCAAGCATGATCCCTTCACTTAGATCATGATCGAGTATGTCAAAGAAGGGAAGACCCAACGGTTTTGGGTGAATGAGGGGTTGATTATGACCAAAAGGAGATTGAGTGTTCGTTTTGCGGTGGAAAACTTGAGGAAGATGATCATGAAGGAGTGTCATGACTCAAAATGGGTCGATCACCCTATCATTCAACTTAGACAAGCCCAAATTGAAGAATAATATATGGCCACAGATTCAAGATGATGTGGAACTATATGTGAAGACTTGTCTAGTGTGCCAACAAGATGAGGTGGAGCAACAAAGTGTGGCTAGCCTATTGGAACCATTTGTCACTCCTCAAAGACCTAAGGAAAGTGTTAGTATGAACTTCATAATTGGCCTTCCCAAAGTTGATGGGTGTGGTTGCATCATGGTGGCCGTGGACAGATTGTCGAAGTATGGTGTGTTCATATCGGGCTTAAAGATATGACAACCGAAGATGTTGCCGCTTATTCTTCATAAATGTGGTGAAGTATTGGGGTGTTCTTACCAACATTGTGAGCAATTGAGATGGTCATTTCACCAACAAATTTTGGAGGGAGTTGTTCAAGATCAAAACTGATTGGAAAAAGGAAAGGGTGAAATGATTGTAGATAATATACATTTGTATAAAGTATTCTACATACTCAATCTTGACTGTAAGATTGGATAGACCCTAACCATCCATTTTAAAAGTAAGGCCTATACAAGGAGCATATACCCCATTTGTACACATACATAAACATTAAGAGAAATACCTCTCTAGAGAGAATTCCTCCATACTTATAACTTATAAGTATGAACAAGACCGAGAGAAAACTGATTTAGCATCTAACAACACTTGAGTGTTAAGGTCACTTGAAAGGGTTTAGTTCGTGACAATTCGCCCTTGCTACTACTAATGTCACAAAGCAGTCAAAATTGCTATTTTACGTAAAATTGAAAATTTGGGTAAAATTAAAATCGTAAAATCATAGGATTTTAATGACAAATAGAAACGAACACTGAATAATATTAATAAGGTAAACTATGAATATCACAAAGACACGTAACACTTAAAATGATAATATCTCGAGATTATTGTTCCAAATCAACACAAATGCAACCCAAATAACTTGCACCTAAACTTAGAGAGTATTTACTCGCAACAATAAAGTTGCTATAGGAAGATTACTACTTACAAGTACTTGGATAATATAAATTATACGAGTTATTAGTTCTTGTGTGTGGAGTCCTAGCATTTTCTTCATTATAGATCAATCTTAACATTTTATTCATCTTAAATAGGACATGTTTTGGTATTTTCTTACATGGTAGCAAATGAGGAGAACTAGATTATGTTGATGGAGGAGAAGGAAAAAATGGGTTAACTCACCCAAACATTTGATCTTATCGCTTTAATTCCGTTCGATTTGGTCCAAATTCAATCAATTCAACATGGACCTTAAATTCGTTAATAATAAGATTTTAAAGTCCATAAATTCTATAGTGAAATCAGAATCGGATAAATAAGTAAGATTTTAAAATTTAAATTTAAATTTTCACTACTTCCACTCATTTCCCAGAACAAGTATTGGAACTTCATATAACCAGGAATTGTCATTTCCAACTTGATTTGTTAATATTTCAGGCTCAACATATTAACTTTTCGTCTCATGTAAAGGGGCAGCTCACTATTTCTCTAGTGAGCTTTACTTATTCGAACATTCCCCTTTCCATCCTCTGATTCCTTTCTTCTTCATGCTCCTGCGTTTTCCACAAGCCTTCCGCGAGCTGAAAGCCTACAGTTTGCAATCAAACAAACACCATTAAAGAACCAAAAAAAACCCCAGAAAGGTAACTACGAAAATCCCAAGAAATCAGCAAATTACTTACTTGCTGCAATCGGTGTCTTTGGAAATGGGAACACTGATTTCCACGGCGCAGAGTTTAGGCAGCTGAGTGGCGACCTCCGGCTTGATCGCCTGCGAGTACTTTCCAGCCGCTTGCTTCACGCACTCGCAGGTGGCGCGCTTGTCATCCGGCGACGACTGCGCCATCTTCTTCAAGTTCCTCACCCCGTCGCAGCAGCCGCCAGAAGGCTTCGCGCCGCCGCCAATGGCGGTGAGGTAAGGGATGCAGGGGATCAGAGACTGCACGACCTTGTTGCATTGCACCTCTGCCACCGCCGGGCGGGCCGCAGCGGCGACGAGAAGTGTTGCGAGGAGGAGGATCGATAGAGATTTCATGATTGAGGGAATTCTGGTTTCGAGTTTAGCGTTTATGGTTTAGGATCTGGAGTTTGAGTGATGAGAGTGTTGGTTTAGGAAAAAGCTTACTTATAGAAAGGGGGGAAAGGGTTTGGGGCCACGGGAAATTCACTTGGGAGAATAGGGCAACGGAAGAAACGAGGGGAAGTATTTGTAACGGGTAGTTGTTGAAATGAGCGGTTTCGGTTTTGCTTAGTTTGTTACTTTACAATTTTCACTCTAATTGGTAGTTTTGTTCGTCTTATATTCATTGCGGTTAGTATGGTACAAAAGTCATTTTGCTGACAGACAATCTATTACGAGTTTATTGTGGATCACTTTTTGTAATTTGAGTTCAACATGATTTTGTTGTCATAATTTTATGTGTGGTTTCAATTATTACTTCACTCAGATTGGTAATTTCTACGCGGCAGTTGTTTGAATTACTCTATGATTTTCAGCTTTGTCTCTGACATAGAGTCATTGCAGTAAGTATGGGGTAGTTGCCATCAACGTGACAAACACCATATCATGAGCTTGTCGTGACTCGTGACTACATTTTTTTTATCTCAACCCGTTACAATTTTTGCTTTAATTTATAGGTTTGACGCTCCCATTGTCAAAAAAAATTTATCTCAACCCGTTACAATTTTTGCTTTGATTGATAGTTTTGACACTCCAGTTGTGATGAGTATTATCACAGAGAACGGATTTGAATGCTAATACCCTTTTTGTTATTATGATTTGTGGTTTAAACATAGATCCTGAATATTTCCAGTAAGTGTTAGAATGACTTCCAAATTGTGAATTTGTATCAAAATAGTATGCAAATGACCAATAAAAAAATAGTATGCTAAATGTCAATATATTATAGTAAGTGACTAACTTAAAAAGAAAAAAGAAATGGAAGGGTAAAAGGAAGTACAGAGTTTCCAAATATCCAAGGTTCTGTATTACGGGCAAACACTACAACAGTGCCTTCTTAAATGGAAGGCACGATTTATGTCTTTGCTAAAGAAGAATGATGAATAGGAGAAAACGAACATCAAGCTGATAAACAAATACAAAGAACAAATGAATGGTTTAGTTACTGACTCTGTAGTAATCTTCTGTAAATCTGTAGTCTGTAATCTCTCCCTCCAACCTTTTTTTCTTCACCCAAAGAATGGTATGTGATATATAATATAATATGAATTGTCTCAATCTATATCATGAACCCTTTGTACTAATATTATCTTGTACCATGAATCCCAGACTGTGCAAGAGGTTTCCAAATCAACACTCATTCGCTGCTTCGAGATTGCGATGATTGGTTTAGCTGCTGCTGATGATATGCATTCATTTGACCAGGAAGTTGACGCTGCTGCTGTTGCATTAGAGGATGATTAGCAGGAAGCTGCTGATGAGGATGAGCATCTGCTCCTCCAAGCTCTGTCGCAGCGAGCCTCAGTCGTTGGACTTCTGCAACCAGTGCCTCATTCAGAGCTGCCAACACATCAAACAGTGGGGGAAAGAGTCAGCATTTCTCGTCTACAGTTTCGAGATCCACTTTCAAATAGGGAGTCAATCAGTCAAATTGACTATCTTTGACCGGTACTAAGAACACCATTTTGTCAGTACATGCTCAAATTTGACTATAGTTGCAAGGGAGGATCGATCAAAATGTTTGAGGAGATTATTGAATCAATTTTGCAACACGAAAACAATGTAGAGAAAACATAAATCTATACCGAAAATAGAGGACAAACTATGTACCGGAACTGCCCAAAAATCTAAGATTCTACCAAAAACCTTGCGTCCAAAGTAATGAGACCATTATGGTCATCTTAGCTAATTATGTCTACAAATCTTTAATGCATCAGAAGAGACATACCATCTTTGAGCTGGGCCTGTTGTTCCATTGCCTGAAGGCGGAATTTGAGTTCATTGTTCTGGCTTGTGAGATTTGAGGAATCACGCTGCATAAAGGCGAGATTATTTGTGAGTAAAGAAGAACACAAGGACTACAGACAAAGAGAATTCTTGCTGGTGAGGTAAGACTACCAACCTGTAAAACTGTAACCTGGGCAGACAATGTAGTTGCTTCTGACTGTAAAGTTTGCACCTTTTGCTCCAATTCAGAAATGTACCTCATTTTACGCTCCTTGGACCGAGCAGCAGACAGACGATTCGCCAATATCCTACAGTGTTTATTGAGCAGAGATGAGAAAATATTCAATGTAGACTGATAAAACTTGAAGAAAAGAAATAAGATTACCTTTTAACCCGTTTTGGATCAGCCATTGCAAGCTCGGCAAGCTTGTCATTAGCCATTATCTTCTTGAGTTCCCCCTCAGTAAACTCACCATTCCCAAACTCCAAGTTGAACTTGCTGAAATTCCCCTGCATTGAGCTGGAAGGCGAGCTAAGTTGACCAACTCGGTTCGCGCTAGGAGGAAGCTTCATCGACTCATCATCCAACCTTAAACCTCCCATGAAGCTATCCATTGACACGCTCCTATGGTGTCGACCAGCAGGCCCAATATCAGCATCGGCACTCCTCTTCAGCCCCTTAACATGACTCTCTGCCTCGTTATCACTGCTCTCAGACCCATTCATCTTCGAACCACTCGCCCTGCTGTCCAAATCCTTATCCTCAGTCCCCGATGAATTCAGCGGATCAATATTATCCATTTGCATATAAGCACTCAACATCTCGTCAGTAGGCTCCCTTTCTTGTTGTCGCCTTTCACCCATCCCTTCCACATTACCATCTCCATCTCCCCCCCAACCCAACTCCTGCTTCACGAAATCGAACCCACCTTGACCTGGTATAGGTATCAACTGAGGAGAAGACTGGATCATGGCACAGAACCCTAATGGAACAGTGTCACTCATCGATCGCCTGTGCCCTCTACGAGGTGGCAATCCAGCCTTTTCCTCCATGGCCACCGGAGATGGAACCGAGGGATGATGAGGCATGGGACTCAGTGGAGGGAGGCAATCTAGCGAAAACATGGAGGATTGAGACAATGACCTCAAATGAGATGGCCCTACTCCGCCACCTCCGGCACCCCCAGAACCAAAGATGTGAGGGCTGTTTGGATGAGAAGGAGGCAACCCAATTCTCTTGTTGCTGCTGCTGCTGTTGTTGTTGCTCTCTTCTAGGCCTAGACTTGGTGAGGATTGCCGCATGGTATCACACATTTGAGGTCTCACAAAAAAACCCTCCGAAAACCTTATTTAAAACCACGAAATGGGAGGCAGTTGGCAGCTGCTTCAGTAGCTAGCCGATGAAGAATGGTACAGTACGGATGATCAAAGAATCTGTACCACCACCACAACAACCATCAAAACTTTGCTCAACATTTTTTATCCGACTGACAAACCCTATATATGACCTTGACCGCAAAAGGAAGAAGGGATTGAATTGAACCCAATTTCAAGACACAAAGAACAACAATTCAAACCCTAGCATCTAGATAGGAGAATGGGGCAAGACAAACAAAAATCGCGACCACCCATATTTAAATTCAGCTAAAAAACAATTCTTTCCGGAACTATCGATGATGAAATGAAATGGGTCATTCTTACTTTCCTTTCTTCTTCCTTCTGCCTTCTCCCTTCTCCCCTCCTCTCTCTCTCTCTCTTCTTATTCTGCTTGATTCAATCGCTGGAAAGTGATAGCCGTACAATGCGATACAAGCGCCAACTGTAAGAAGGGGAAAATGGCGGCAATTACACAACCAGTTTTCTTAGCGGCTTGTCGGATAGCTGAGGGAAGAGCATGAAAAACATCGAAATGGAGAACAAAGCTTGGAATTGAATTAAAAAAAAAGTTTATAATGTGTATTTTTGGGACTCACTGTCTGCTCCTGTTGTCTTCTCTGTTCCTGGTGTGTGACCATTTATCCGACCGCTAAGCTGAAAAAAGCAAAAGAAAAAGGAGAGAAGAAGCAGCGCGTGGAGGGCAGTTCACGCGGTTTCTTTCATATTCGAATCGATTCTACTAAAAAAAATTCATTCATCGGCAGCACCGATGCTTTGGCGGAGGAAGGTCGTCGTCTTTCTCCCTTTCTTCTTCTCTTCCAACAGACATCAGCTCCTTTATCTCCGCCGTCTATTGAGCAGCGGCTGGGGCCAATTTTGTAACAATGTATAGTTTAAGGGTCAACTACAGAAATGGTAACTAAACTTTGGGTTCTCAACCAAGAGGTCACTTAATTTTGATTTTAGATAATTGGACACTCGTCTGGGAATAGCTATTAGAAGAGTTACTTCGTCAATCTTTGTCGATTTTACTTCCGTTAGAAATGGGCATTGGACCCACTAATGATATGGGCAGGGTTGCTTTCAACTACATCCACCATGATGACGGGTGAAGGTCTAGAACAACCGACCCACCCATTTGATCACGCTAAACTCCTTTATCAATATCTTAATCCGTAACTTCCTTAGTCCTCAATCAAATTCTTTCCTTCTCTATTTTCTCGACAAAATCATGATTTGACAACTTTATCAAATGAATTCTGTATGAAATCTTTGATTTTCAATATTTATTTCCGACTTCACGTTTCTTTCTTAAATAAATTTCAATAGAATCTTTCATTCCAAATTTTCTTTGTTTACAGTAAAAAAAAATCTCCAAGCAATTAGCTTTCATCTTTATGTTCTGGTGAAATCTCCATTGATGTCGCACATTGATTTTTTCTCCTATAATTATCACTGGGAGCTTACATTTCTTTATGCATTGATTTTGATTGAGATTTAGTTATAAATTTATCTTGATTCAAGTTTTTTTTTCTATTTTATGAGAAACACTTGATCTACCAGTAAACCGCATTAACCCACTCATTGTTTTGTGTGTTTGGGTGAGTGTGTGTTGTATTTATGCTCATCTGCTTACCTGTGGCCACTGGCCAGCTGGTTTTTCACCAAAACCCGCCCAAACCACTCAATGCACATCCCTAACTTACGTGGTTTTCACATCAGTATATCAATTTGTGCAAAGTAATGATAAAGAAAAGGGTAATGTGGACTCTCTAATTAGTTAAAAAGGGTCATGGTTATAATCGAAGTGACGGTAAAGTAATAACACATGATGTCTAATTTGCGACTCAAACACCATATACGTTGTTGCCTTGACAACTAACTTCATCTCTTGTACTATCACACGAGTCGAGTCATTGTGGGTAGTCTTAGAAGGAATGAAGATGGATTGAATAACGAGGATTGTGAAACTTCAAACTAAGTTGGATTATCATATGGTCTTGAGTGTTCACAGGAGCTATACAAATAATAACCAACTTTATAATTTCGAATCATAACCTAATAGCTCCTGTGAACACTCAAGACCTAATAACTCCTAATTTTGATTGCATTTTCTTCATGTATGTGAAAGTGAAACTTCAAACTAAGTTGCATATCACATAATTAGGTGAAATTCTATGAACATATTTTTGTTACTAATGTGACTGAGTTTGCATATTAATCTGGTTCATTCCATGAAATATGTAGGATATATGTGCTTGTGAAATAGGAAGTGAATGGGCCATAATTGATCACTTGGTGCGTGGTAGAGTCATGATAACTCCAGTTTCGGCTATATAGTAGACATGGAAAAATGTTGCTACGCAAATCTCAAAATTTTGAAAATCGTATATCTCAACACTAATCATTATGAAAAACCTAAAAAAATTACCATAATGTTAGTTGTTCCAGTTTTGAGTGACAAGTTTGTTCAAAATTAAAGTTTAGTGATCAATTGTTGCGATCCTAAACTTCAGTAACCATTTGTATAGTTGAGACAGTTGATGGTTATCAACTTCCTCTTTTCTTTTTCTTTTAGTTTTGGAATTTCATTAAAGGAGAGATTCGGCGCCCTTTTCCTACAAGGTATCAGAATTATACTTTCAAATTTTGTTTCCCTATTATGCTTTACCAAACCGAAACATGGAAGGAAGAATTTTGGTTAATTATTATGTATTAAAGAGATTCCATTTATCAGTAATATTTTTTTGACAACATTGTTAATGTTTGCTCGTGTTCGAGACTTTTCGATCCTTATCAACACGAATTAAGTATGTCACTTAGTACCGTAATAATTTTTCGATCGAGATGAAGTATCGATCAGTCTAGGATTTATTTTATTACAACCAATTATTGCTTGGACTATATATATATCGATGGTCGAAGATTTTATATCGTTCAGTGCAACTTCGAGATTTTGTACTCTTATATGCATGTCATATATTTAATTAAGTTGCATTTTCTTTATCAATAAGTTATTTAGTTTATCAAGCAACACTCCAAACATCAATATCGGGACACATGGTTAGTTGTATCCAAACTCGTAACCACGGGTAACCACCCACATGACATCGGAGCCACAGGGGATAGAGTTTCTTCCACCACTAAATCTACCTCATACAATGTACAATATGATTCGAATCCAATTGGGAATTGCAGTCCGTTAATTCGCAATTTGACGGGAATTCCTATTCCTATTCATATTCCTACTAAGAAAGTGATCCATACTCCGACCATTTGAAAACTCTGCACATACAATGTTTCTTAATACGACTCGTATCCAGATCCTCATAACTTTCGTAATAAAGCTAAAATTTTAACAAGAAGTCATTGCAACAAAGTGAGGAGATGTTAGTAAGTTCAACAATCCTTTTGTCATTGTGCTCATTAGCAATACACGAATGTGTTCTTAGTGGTATATCCAACAAAAACATTATATAGGGTATTATATATGTATATTCTTGGTATCTTGTAGATTATAAGATTCAAATGGGTCTAATATCGCATACCCATTTATTTAAGTAAGACCATACATACGTAGAATCTTCAAGGTACCCATAAATATCACTCCTAATCACTACTTTGTAGTAGAAAGAGAAACTATTCATGAACTTAAGGATCACTATACGGCTTTCTATCTATTTGATGAGTTAGAAAAGAAGGGTAGGCTGGGGGGTCATTGCCTTTGTAAATTTGTACATTGTATCCAACCTTGTATTCGGAAATTGGAGGTCAACGTCTATGAGTTGGGATTATCGTTAATCACCAGTTCCACTTAAATCATTTCCATGCAATTATGGCGCTACACGTGTTGCTGCATTTTCTTGTCGGTATTTTCGTAATCCATTCTTTTCTATGGAAAAAGATAAAGAGTTCGAAGGGGCGGTGTGGATGGGTTAATTTTGGTACGTGATGTAGTGAAATAATACTTTTATTTGAAAAAAAATTGAAAGCTAAATTATCTTTGCTTGGATGGATTAAAAGAAAAGTTATTTTAGATAGGGTATTTGATAAAATAAAAGGTAAAATACAATATGTTCTCATCATTACGGTAAAAAAAAAAAAAACTCAAAGCATTAATTAGAATTTTTCATATTCGATTCTTTCATTACAAGGTTTTATAACGGTCGAAAACTATCCAATCCTAAATTTCACTCACAATCAGAGACGAACAAATAACTACTGAGACGAATCAAACAAACTCACTTTCTAGAACAACAACAAAAACTACCCAATCATAGGCTTCAAACGATGAATTGTGTTCTCTCGTTGTTGCCTTTATGGTTCCTTTGAAAAGAACAAAACAATCACCTTTCAAATTTCAATAACCCTAAACTCGATAAATGAGAAATTATAGCAATTAGTTAGTCAATTAGCTAGGACTAAAACGAGTGAGAATAATACTAAAAACTGTCCCCTGCGATGGTGAGGAAAAGAAACATGGACGATGTTTTGGCACCTTCAATAAAAATAAAAATACCAAATGTCGTTAATGGACAATTCAAGCCTCTTTGTCATGTTGAACTACAATACAAATATATTCCTATAATCACCTTCTTCTTATGATTAAGGTCGTTTACAAAACTTGTGTACTTGCTAATTGGGCTTGATTCCTTTAAGGCTGGAGTACGTACGGCAGATTGTTCTCCCTCCATCCCAACTTATGAATCATGACTTGTATTTTCCTCGGTGTTTTGATTTTTCCCTAATGATCGAGTTTTTTTAAACGTACGAACGACCAATTCATGTTTAGATTAACGTTAATATTTGTATTAACATGGAACGGAAGAGAATGAGATGAGATAATTCGTGGGAACATTTGGGATTGATTTTGAATTTGTATTCCACCGAGGAGACTTATTTTATTTTTTTCCATTTCGACTGTAGGAAGAGGGTGAACATAACACCCAAGCAATCCAGCCTTCAAAGTAAAGATTTTGAAAGGTTATCACATGATAATCATATTTTAGTATCATCTCTCAGTGATTCGTCGTATGATCAGTTGAGTATTCCCACAAAATCGAAGTAATGTAATATCATGAGTTAGACACCCCTCACATAGCATACGTTGACGCAATTTGCTCAATAAAAACCGAACAAGAAGCATAGTTTACCAACTGCAAAAAGACCAATGAATCCATTACTCGCAAACCCAAACGCACCCCCACCATGTTTGGTAGCACCATCAATTAAAAATCTTTCCAAGAGGTAAGAACTCGTGAATTGCTCGCCAAAGAAATTATTTATATATTTATAAGATGATATAAGTTTGGCTTTTGTGTTATTTAAAAGATTCGAATCTGATACCAGATTCAAGATTAGTGGTATTTAAAATATTTTTGAGTTTGGATTATGAGATGTTCTTCAAGATTTTCCAAAACCTACACAACTAACAATCGAAGATAGGAGGCAGCTCATAGTGATATTGTAAACTAGTCACGGGCCCGGCCAGTTGGCCGGATTCAGTTGTCAATCATGCAAATAACAGTAACAATTTGTATTCAGTTATATATTAGTATAAGAAAATCTAAGTTCTTCAAATACTTTAAACATTCAAATCAATTGGGAGAATAAGTGAATCCAAATTATTAAAATAGTTCAACAATTCAAAAGAATGAACATTGTAATCCGACATAGTAATGCCTAATTGACTAAAATCTTTTTACGAAAATGAAAGAAAACTCCCATGCAAGGGACCGAGTCCTAAATACCATTTAAAATGACCCTTCTAACTAATCCTCATCGTTATCTATTAGCGACACATTTATCTCCAATATCAATTAACACGTCCTTCTT